AGTTCACACAGTATAAAGGAATGTTCCACAGAGGACTGCTGCAAGTTCAAAGCCAGTCCAGACTACACAGTGAGCTCGAGACTGAGACCAGGTCTAAAAGAATTGAATATGACCTGGGGGTTAAAAAGCAAATAGACTCTGGGGTCAGAGCGTGTCAGCAGCTATGAGGCCTTGTGACGACACATGAGCCCTGGGCTGGTTACGCTGCTTATGAAATGGAAACAGGGTTTGCTTATGGAATTGACATGACAGGACTTAGGTGTCTTACCCACTCAGGCAAAAGCAAGAACCTGGGAAGTCTCTGCACGTGGAAGAGAGATAGCAGCCTAATGGTATAAATATATGCTTTAGAGAGATTAACTGTAAGGACAGAGACAGACACAGAAAGGGGAGCTCTACCTCATTTTAAGTGCCTAATTTTTGCTAAGTAATATTCTAAATTAACAGAAAGGAAGGAAAAAATTCATTCAACCTGGGAGGATAACATAAAAAACAGCTTCTGGGAAGTGGAGAGATGGTTCAGCAGTTGTCTTAGTTCTGTTTCTAGACACCATGACCACAGCAGCTCTTATAAGGAAAGCATTTCATTGAGGGGGCTCACTTACAGTTTTAGAGGTTCCCTCATCACGGCAGGGAGCATGGCAGCCTGCGGGTCAATGTGCCGCCGGTGGAGGAGTTGAGAGAACTATATCCTGCAGCCAACAGAAAGTCGACCGCAACACTGAGCATAGGAAACCTCAAAGCACACCCCCACTGTGACACACTTCCTCAACAAGGCCATACCCACTCCAACAAAACCATGCATCCTAATAGTGCCACCCCTTATGAGATCACGGGGGGCAATTACATTCAAACTACCACAGGAGATAAGAACATGTACTGGTCTCTGGAACCTGAGTTTGGTCTCCAGAACCCACATCAGCCAACTCACAACTACCTAGAACTCCAGTTCCAGGGGTTCTGATGCCTCTGGCTTCCTCAAACCTCAGCACACACCTGGACATACTCAGGAGCCACACACAGATGTCACAGTTAAAAATAATAAAAATTATCATCCTAATTCTTAAGAAGATGCCGGGGATAAACAAGATTATAGGGTGACAATGTCACTTGTGTGTCTGATGTAGTAACATCACCATATTAAACAACAGCTAGGGGTCATGCATCCCGTAAATATTCATTGAGCATTTCCTGTGTGCTGGAATCATTCTAGCAAGGGAATGGCTAGGAGAACACCTCTGCCCTTGGGGATTCTCCATTCCACTTTGATGAGGCAGACAACAAAACAAACCATAGGTTATTGGGCGGTTGGTACTATGGAACAAAACCGAGCAGGACCAGTGCCTAGGGGATGCTGGGAGAGATGCAATATTAAAACTGGTGGTTAAGGAAAGCACCACAGAGGAGGAGCTGCTGAGCAAAAAGGGGTGCGTAGGGGTGGAGGAGAGAGTTAGACACATACCTGTCTGAGGAAAGAACCTCCCAAGGGGAAGCAACCTAAGCGAGGCCACTTCTGCTGCCCTCACTACATATGTGACATTTATATCCCTCTGCTACTATTTTATCAATTACAAAATGAAGACAAGGAAAATAAATACCTCCTAAGTTTGTTATGAGGGCTAAATAGCTTAGCAGACGTTGAAGGGGCAGGGTGGTGATGGCCCTAGGCACTAGTCCTGCTCGGTTTTGTTCCATAGTACCAACCGCCCAATAACCTATGGTTTGTTTTGTTGTCTGCCTCATCAAAGTGGAATGGAGAATCCCCAAGGGCAGAGGTGTTCTCCTAGCCATTCCCTTGCTAGAATGATTCCAGCACACAGGAAATGCTCAATGAATATTTACGGGATGCATGACCCCTAGCTGTTGTTTAATATGGTGATGTTACTACATCAGACACACAAGTGACATTGTCACCCTATAATCCCGTTTATCCCCGGCTGCTACAAGAGCACAAGGACCTGAGTTCGGATCCCCAGCACCCACATTTAAAAAAAAACAGATGTGATGGCACACATTGCAAATTTAGTACTGAGGGGGGAAAGGAAATAGAGAAGGTGGAACCACAGAGCTGCATGGCTGAGCATTCTATCCAATCAGTGACCTCCAGGGTCAGGAAGCGTCTCTAACTCAAAACCTAAGATGGAGAGTGATGGAGCAAGATGCTGAGCTTCCACCTCTGGCTTCACACATATGTGCACACATATAATGTGCACTAGAATTTACACACATCCACATAGAAACATTAATACACATGTTCTTAATGCTGAGGGCTCAAAACAAACCCAGACTAATCAAAGGTTAGCTTTCACAGCAGTGATGATAGGGGAGGAGTCATGCAGCAGCTGATGCTGATGATGAAGATGATGCTGATGGCCCAGAGACTGAGAAAGTCTCTGGACCTCTTCCTGTCTCCTGTGCAGAATAACTTAAGTTCTCCGAGTCAGAAATCAAAGAGGATGCTGTTGTGTCCGTTCCTTTTCTTGATGCTATAACAAAATGCCTTAAGAGGGAGAAGGATCTATTTGGGCTTACAGCTTTAGAAAATGTGAAGGCATATATTTTCTGTCCTGCCTGGTTTCTGTCCTCCCACCTGGTCCCACAGCCATTTAGCCCCAAAGAAATCACACAAGGGTCTATATTAATGATAAACTGATTGGCCCATTAGCTCAGGCTTCTTATTTACTCTTATAACTTATATTAGCCCATTATTCTTGTCTGTTAGCCACATGGCTCGGTACCTTTTTCAGCGAGGCAGGTCAAATCTTGCTTCTTTGGTGTCTGGACGGGACTGTGGAGGAATGGGCTTCCTCCCTCCCAGAATTCTCCTGTTCTTATTAACCCACCTCTACTTCCTGTCTGGTTGTCCCCGCCTATACTTCCTGCCTAGCTACTGACCAATCAACGTTTATTTAAAACATAATTGACAGAAGAATGTTGAGCAACAAAGACACTCCGCTGGGAGCTTGTTTTCTTCTTGGCAGAACTGACCTTTGGGCAAAGAAATGCCCATACCTCAACCACTGATAAAGATACATAGTATCCGTAAATGGATAAAACAGGACTGTCAAATCCTGACAAGACAGAATAAGAGTTTTGCAAAGTTTCTTGCCTTTGAAAATGGTATGTCAGTTACCTTAGGCCTTAGCCAAAGTTGGTTGCTTCAACATTGCAAATGAGACTTTGGGTGATTGCCCAGGTTGTCTCTGTCATTTGTTGCACATTTTGGAAGTTGCTCGATTGAACTTCCTGCTTACTCAAGTAATATTGTTTCCCTTCTCGGATCTTTGATGGGGTTGAAAACTAAATAAGTATAGTTACTTTCCTCTCATGATTTGGCCAAGTTATTTATTATACAAGACTTAAGCTAGTTAGAATAGGATATTTGTTCTTATTGTATATAATTTTGTATTAGGCTTATAACTCTCTTTTTATTTTAAATTTTTTGCTCTATAAATAATACCATTCAAAATTTCCAACTCCTCCCATTTCCCTCTCAATCCCCGACTCATCCTCTCCCCTTCCCCTCCAGTCCTAAGAGAGGGCAGGATACCCTGCCCTGTGAGAAGTCCAAGGTCCTCTCCCCTCCATCCAGGTCTAGGAAGGTGTGCATCCAAACAGACTAGGATCCCAAAAAGCCAGTACATGCAGTAGAAACAAGTCCCAGTGCCATTATCATTGGCTTCTCAATCAGCCCACATTGTCAGCCACATTCAGAGGGTCCAGTTTGATCACATGCTCGTTCAGTTCCAGTCCAGCTGGCCCTGGTGAGCTCCCCTTAGATAAAGAAAAAAGGGAGGTGCTGTAGAAAGTATTACAGCTTGTATTAACCCGCATACTGGGGCATGGCCTCTCTTACTGTTTACGGGGAAGCCAAGCGTGTGTACCCCTTCTCTCTCGTTCCCCTTGCTCCGTGCCCAGTCGGCTGCTCCTTTGGGTCGTGTGATTCAACTGGTCAAGCGGAGAATTCTGATTTGTGTGTTTACCCCTTAATAAATGCCTATCTCTTATTTCTGAGCTAGTGTGGGGTTTCTTATAAGCGTCTGACCGCCATAACTCCCGGTGCAGAAACGCAGTCCTCCACAGTGTGGAAGGCGCTGAGGCAGGAGTAAACCGCAGCTTCTCACTAAGTGCACAGGAAATGCAAAACAGACAAAATAGGGCCAAGTTATAAAACTCAAAGACCAGTCCCCAGTGAGAAATTTTTCCAGCAAGGCTGTACTTCCTAAGGGTTCGCATATCTTCCAAATCAGCACCAGCAGCAGGGTGTTAAGAAGACAGTGCCTTGAGGCATTTATGCTCAAATCATAATGGAGAGTTGTTCTGAGTTTAGTTTTTAAAAGTAACTGGCTTCAGATGTTGCCATTAGGAAGTCACTGTGTTACATCAATGAATAAGGAAGAAATGGGCTCGTTCCCAAAGAAACTTCTCTGCTGCTGGGGCTGGGAAGAAGGTTTAGCAGCAAACTCTGCTGCCACTCTGTCAGAAGAATGCAGTTCCGTTCCCAGCACACATTGCTTGTGGCTCACAACCACCTATATGGGCACCTGCATTCCAGTGTGCACGCTTCCACACAAACACACATGCGTGCATACACACATGTTTCAAAATAAAGCAAACCTTGCACAGTAGGCAGAAGCAGGTGGATCTCTGTGAGATAGTAGCTACTTATCAATTTCCAGACCAGCAAGAACTACATACAGAGTGAGACCCAATCTCTGACGTGAGTGTGTGTGTGTGTATGTGTGTGTATGTGTGTGTGTGTGAGAGAGAGAGAGAGAGAGAGAGAGAGAGAGAGAGAGAGAGAGAGAGAGATTTATTTTGAGGCAGTGCCTCACTACACAGCTCTGGCTGTCCTGGAACTCCCTTTGTAGACCAAGCTGGCCTTGAACTCAGAGAACCGTCTGCTTCTGGCACCCAAGTCACTACACCTTGCTTAAAAATGTTTAAAAATCTCCCCCATCTAACCCATCTCTAAGTTGTGTCTTTTTTTGTTTTTCCAGCTTCCAGCAGGAGATGCACCCCTGATCTGATGGCGATTGCTTGCCTCTGTTTGGTCAGCGTCGTTATTTCTTCCATAGACAGAGAGCAAAGGAATCCACCGGCTTCTTTTTAAAGGAACTATTTAAATATTTTGCTCATCTTTTGGTTATCAGAATCTGAGATCCACACTTCTCAACACACCACAGAGGACACGGGAGACAGAAGTTGCTGGAAGAAAATAAGTTTATTCAAAACCAGCCCTAACTAAGGCAGAAGACACTGTCTCAAATCCCTACTAAAAGGGATTTATATTGGCTACTTCCTTGTCGCTGTGACCAAAATCAGAGGCAGAAGTTCAAGGTTCGAGAGGAAAGTTTTACTTATAAATGTACAGAACATTTTGGTCCCTGCCCTAGCCATGCCCACTCCTTTTTTATCTCTGACCTCCGCCGCTATCTCTCTCTCCTGTTCTCTCCCTGTGTATACACGGGGCTTTGTCTCTCCTCTCCTTCTCTCTCTCTCTCTCTCTCTCTCTCTCTCTCTCTCTCTCTCTCTCTCTCTCTCCCTCTCTCTCCCTCTCTCTCTCTCCTGTAATAGATATTTTAGCTTTATGCCTATTTTTGTGTTTATGTGTCTGTTACCCACCGCCACCGGCCTCGCAACGCGTGCCCTCCCACTGGTGGGAAACTGTAGCCGCTTGTCGCATGGCGGGCTCCGCCAGCCCGCCCGGGGATCTTACAACCCTCTCTTCAGGGATAGCAGCTGCACCGCAAACATCTTAGAAACATCTTAAGAATAAGATTGGTCTCGAAAATAAAAAATAAAATAAAATAAATAAGATTGGTGCCACATGACTCCCGAACCGGGTTCTCTTCCACTTCACCGGCTTCCCTAATTGCTTCAATCGGTGAGTGGTCCCCCCCCCTCCCGCTCTGCTTTGGTTGAGAGACCGCCCGGGTCAAAACCCACGTGTTGCATCTGCCTGGGTGCGGCTTTATGAATCCTCTTAAATCCTCTTCAGCTAGCTTAACCACCCCCTTTTAGCCCAGAGATTTCTGTTGAGCTCCCGGAAATCTCAGGTGCTGTCTGGGGTCGGGAGGAACTTCCCTGGTTGTTTCTTTTGCTAGCATTCACTCCTGGCTTTTCATCCCTGGCTATACCCGCCTCAAAGGGCTAGCTAGGCTTAGTCAGCCCCTCATTTCACTCGCGCCTGGAAGTTTCTGTTCTTTTCTGTCCTCTCAGTATAGCTCACTATGGTGCGGGCAGGCCAATTGTTTCCCCCCTGCCCGGGAATTTGCCTCCTGTGGGAGGCGGGGGCCGATTCGGCCATACCACTGTCCCCTGTAAGCTCGGACACCTGCTTATAGGACCTACGGTGGTCAATTCCAACTGCACCTTGCCTTCATGGCCTCAGGTGTGTTGAAATATGAGCGGCAGGCTACGTTCCTGGCACCCGACCGCCCGCAAGGTTAGCTTTACCCAAAATAATTACACGGAAACTGTATTCTTTTAAACACTGCTTGGCCCATTAGTTCCAGCCTCTTATTGGCTAGCTCTTACATATTGATCTAACCCATTTCTAATAATCTGTGTAGCCCATGAGGTGGCTTACCAGAAAAGATCTTAACCTGCGTCTGCCTGGAGTGGGAGAACCATGACGACTCCTCATTCGGCTTCTTTCTCCCAGCATTCTGTTCTGTTTACTGCGCCTACCTAATTTTCTGTCCTCTTAAAGGGCCAAGGCAGTCTCTTTATTTAACCAATGAAATCAAGACAAAACAGCAGACTCCCACATCACAGGTGCCTTTTTGTGAGTGTTTTTTCTGCGGTTTTGGCCATGGGTATCAAGTCATCCAGACCTATCACTCCGGCCTCATGCTTTAATGCCTTACACTTATCTGCCTCTGTTCAACCCAATATAACTTAGAGAAAAACTGTAAATGGCCGGGTTTTTTTTTTCAGTTCCAGCCTTTTGCCCCTCCCCACTGCGGCTTCTGTTATGTCATGGCGGCTCTACAACAAAACAAAAACTTTTTTCCACAACACATGGCGGTCGCCATCTTGGCTGAGGGCCAGGCCACATGACCACACTCTCCCGGTTTTACTCACAGTTTTACGGTTTTACTCCCGGTTTTACCCTGCCTCTTTACCCGGTTTTCACTGAACTCCTCCTATTAACTCTGTTACATATGTTTTGAACAATGCCACGCCTCTGATAGGGCCCATCAGAGGCGTCCATGTTGCCCAATTCTTGTTCACTCTTTCTATGTATAATAATTACATCTCATTTCAGACTACAAAACATGAGTCTCATATTTTAAACTGGTATGTACTTTTAAGTCCCTTAAGCTGTTCTCTACTATTGTCAGTTTTGACATTAACTTTCCATTGCCAGCAGTTTCTTCTTTCTTCCCTTTTACGAGTGTAAATCTTACCTGCTAAGAACCAGTATACTACAACTATATTTAATCCAGCCCTAAACTGCTCAGAGATCTGGGGAATGTGATATTCAAGTATTTAATTATTAAAAACTTTTCGCAACAACAACAAAAAAAGACAGGTTGGCTCCTAGCAGCAGCTCTCTGCTCCCTCCAAAGAAGACTGTACTAAGAGCGGCGGGCTGCATCCTGCCACCCGGCTAGCTTTACCTGAAATAATTACACGGAAACTGTATTCTTTTGAACACTGCCTGGTCCATTAGTTCCAGCCTCTTATTGGCTAGCTCTTACATATTGATCTAACCCATTTCTAATATTCTGTGTAGCCCACGAGGTGGCTTACCAGGGAGGATCTTAACCTGCGTCTGTCTGGAGTGGGAGAATCATGGCGACTCCTTGATTCAGCTTCTTTCTCCCAGCATTCTGTTCTGTTTTCTCTGCCTACCTAAGGGTTGGCCTATCAAATGGGCCTAGGAAGTTTCTTTATTAATAAGAAATCACTCCCACATCAGAAGACAGACATGTACAGAACAACGTGCTTCTGCATTTCACTTCGACTGCAAAGCGCTGACCATTGGGGAAAACTGCCTTTCGTCCAAACCTCCAGATGTGAACGGAATTGCTGGAATCGACAGCCTAGCTGCTCAGGTCAAGGTAGGCCTACAGATTTCTTAGCCCACAGGGTCTTCTGGAGCCTGTGCTAAACAGCAAAGGTCAAGTGCAACCTTCAGCGACCATGGAGGATCCAAAAGGAGTAGCTCTGGGTGCTAACCAAGTAAGTTCTCTGTCATTTTCTAATCGGTAACTCAAGTAAAATCTTATCCTTTTCAAAGATCTCTGACAGTTTGATAGCTGCGAGGTTTTGCTTGCCAGGTTACCTCACCAAATAAATTTTAAATCAAATTTCTCTCCTATACTGCTTTCCATATGACTAAAACTTCTGTTTTCACAAACCCAAAGAGTTCTTACAAGTTCCAGGGAGCCAAATTAAAAAAATCCATCTTAAACAGGTCAGATACCCCCTCAATTCCCTGGTCCAAAAAAAATTTTCCCTTAATTTAACTTTGTTGTTTGTTCTGCCAATACCTTAGGGACACAAGACATTACCATGCCATAGACACTGGTCAAAAGCAAAGAGATCAGCCATGCCAGAATGCGACCAGCACCCAGCCTTCTGTCGGGTTCCCCTTCTATAAAAGACAATGCTCACAATCAGCCCAAAGCAGTCTTGAGAATTTGCCGCCCCAATTCCTTCAAACTGGGGTGTCTAATTTGCTTTTTTATTTTTTACTTTTTTATTTATTTATTTATTTATTTGGTTTTTCGAGACAGGGTTTCTCTGTGGCTTTGGAGTCTGTCCTGGCACTAGCTCTGTAGACCAGGCTGGTCTCGAACTCACAGAGATCCGCCTGCCTCTGCCTCCCGAGTGCTGGTGTGGAAATGTTATTCTTTCGGTCCCTGCCCTAGCCACACCCACTCCTTTTTTACCTCTGACCTCCACCGCCATCTCTCTCTCCTGTTCTCTCCCGTTGTACACACGGGGCTTTGTCTCTCCTTTATTTCTTTCTTTCTCTCTCTCTCTCTCTCTCTCTCTCTCTCTCTCTCTCTCTCTCTCTCTCTCTCTCCTGTAATAAATATTTTAGCTTTATGCTTATTTTTGTGTCTATGTGTCTGTTACCCGCCACCACCGCCTGCACATTGCGTGCCCTCTGTAGCCGCTTGTGGCATGGATGGCTCTACCAGCCCTCCCCCGGGATCTTGCAGGTACGGACAACCTTCAGGGCTAGCAGCTGCACCGCAAACATCTTAGAAACATCTTTAGGAATAAGAGGCATGGCACCAGGACACCGGGCACTACAGAGCTTAAGTGGGACAGGGTACCAAACCTCAAGACCCCCCACCCCCATGACTCACTCACTCCAACCAGGCTCCACCGCCTGAAGACTCCACAGCCAGAAAAATAAAGCTGCCAGCAGGGTACACTTTAACACTCAAACCACAACAAGGTCTCATGTTCAAAGTGTTCTTACAGAGAAATGGGAGTGCAGACAGACACCAGGCAGAGCGTCCCTGTCCTGAGCAGGCTTCATCCTCCTCAGGGATGTCTTCTTTTCTCTGCCCTGGCAGGAACCTCACAAAGGACCACTCTCCTGCTGCAGCTGCTTAACCAGACCCAGAAAAAGCCTTTATTCCATTGTTACTCAAGTGCATGGTAGCCTCTGCCAGGCGTGGTCTTATCCAATCAGAACACCACTTGCCTATGAGTTCGCCAGAGACCCACGGTGAGAGACGACCACTCAGTTGTAGCCTATGAGACACAGCCAGGGTTTGTTTTCAAAATCTGCTTAGGAGCACAGCAGGAATCTCTTTTTTGGGGTGCTTAGCAGAAGCAGTACATGTGCACTTGGTGTTCCTACCAGCCTCCCTGCCACAAAAAGAGAAGAATTTGCCTCCCTGAGAAGCTAATTCAGAGGAGGCCAAGCTAAGAAATGGAGAGAATTGAGACAGGCGAGAGAGAGTGTGTGGTGAGCCCTAGGGCAGAAAGGTGCCTGAAGCTGACATCAAGCTTCCTCGTTACACAAATCAATTAACGAGGCCTTTGCTAACGTAATCTGGGTTCCGTTTTCTATCTCAAGCAATTAGAGCGGGTCTGTGAACACACACATTCACAGTTTTTAACTTGGTGATCCTAAGTAGTAAACAAATCACAGAAGAGTAAGCAGGAAAACAAACGATTTTCCTTTGGGACTTTCGTCAGCATTCAAGAACAAATCAATTCGCTTTCAAATGGGGAGACGCGGACATGCAGAAACCTGTGTGGAGAAATGGAATGTGTTGGTGTTAGATTTCCCAGGCAGCATATGGAGACGCGCATTCCCTTTCTTCCTCTCCGGTTGAGTCTGACCCAACAAGACCATTAGTAGGAATCCTGACTTGTGACCAAGGCATTCTACCGGTTAGTAAAATCTCCGCCATGCCTGTGACAAGTTCCTACATGCATGTTTTCCTAAAACATTATTAAAAACTGGAATTTAGGCATGTTATTTTATAGACTAGATGGAAATTGTTATTTCAAACCTTTGTAGAAAAGTGTATGTTGTGGGGAAAGGATGTGTGTGGGGTCAAGGTGAGAATATGGGGAAAAACTGATTATCAAATAACTACCAAAATACTTGAGTTCCGTTATGTACTATGAGATGCAGAATATACATTATATACAAAATTTACACTTTTCTAGCCTTTCCCTCAGGAAATGTACAGCTTAAATTCAGACCTGATCTCCAAAGGCCCTGCTGGTGCGGTAGATGGAGTCAGGAGTGTGGGGTGACTGAATTCTGACTACGTGATGCAATTCTCAGTCCCTTGAAGAAGACCGAGACAAAATGTACCGGAAGTGGAAATCAGCTCATCTGTCCCAGAGAGGAGTGTGGGAGGAGCCATATAATAAAAAAAAAAAAAAAAAAAAAAAAAAAAAAACCAGAATGGACAGCTAGCTATATAAGCCACCTGTCCAAGTCCTCAGCTGTCAGGACGCTGTCTCTACAGCTGGGGAGTCCCAGGCTGACAGGACTGACTTAGGGTTACTATTGCTGCAACAAAACACGATGACCAAACCAAGTTGGCGAGGAAAGGGTTTGTTTGGCTTATACCTCTACAGCACTGTTTCGAAGGAAGTCAGGGCAGGAACCTGGAGTCAGGAGCTGACTCGGAAGCCATGGAGGGTGCTGCTTACAGGCTTGCTCCTCATGGCTGGCTCAGCCTGCTTTGTTACAGAACC